CACATTTTTCAAGCCACTAAAGTAGGCTTACTACACACTGCAGTACTTAGAGGTACACTCAAAAAAAAAATTATGTAAATTTACCACGATTATTGATGGCGACTGGTGACCATCGATAATCCAGTAAATTTGCAACAACAAAGTAATTTTACAAAACAGTATTAAAATTACATTGTAATTTTACACCCATATAATTAAATTTACAAAGTAAAATTCCTAGTTCAAATAAAATCATATTGTAAAATTACTAGATTTCATATAAATTTACAATGTAAAGTCCCTAGTTAAAATAAAACTATAATGTAAAATTACTGACTTTAATGTAAATTTACAAATACTTAAAAATGTAAAATTCCTTCTTTAGTAAAAACACAATGTAATTTTAATTTACAACATATTATAACATTAAAAAGTAATGAAATAATAAAATATTTTTTCAGGATTATTTATTTAATAGAAGTTGTTAAGAAAATTTAAAAAACGATAATTGATTGATATTTACTTACCTGCAAAAACTACATTTATTTTTTATTACTAAATATTAGATATTGTTTTTATTATGATTAAGAAGTAATAAACTGTTTTTAGGCACATAATATTTTATTTAACTTTATTTATAAATATATAAGTGAGTTTTAAAACGGTTGTAGTTTTTAAGAACCCATCTACAGTTCCGATATAGACACGTAAACACTGCTCCTGGTGTATTTCTATGCAATTGAAGATGAGTGTTACATTTTTTTAAAGAACATAATTTAATTTCGCAAATATTACAGGTTAACATTGTCTAAAACAATTATGAATTAATTATGCATCTTTAACTAAGTTTAAAGTACTTACCAATAGTAAAAGACCTTGTAGAAAACTGTGCACATAAAAACACGTTCATCTACTAAACACAATGGCTGACAACAAAGACGTTTTGGAAGCGGATGCAACCCTGCATCACGATTTGGCGCGCGGTAATTGGTTGGAATTTACAATAAAACTTGTAATTTTACATGCGAATAGTAAAATTACAAAAACTATGCAAATATTACAAATTGATATGTATTTAAAACAATAATAATGTAAATATAACAAAATGAAATGTATTTTTACATAACAAAACTTAATATTCCATTGTAAATTCACAAAAATTATTAATTTTACAAGAAACTGTGTATAATTTCATAAATTAACTTGTGATTTAATTTTCACATTATAATATTTGTAAAATGTACATGTTTAAACTAGTAAATGTGTTGTAAATTTACAAGAATTTTTTTGAGTGTAGAGGTTGAGTTGGTACAAGTATGAGATAGAAGTCAGATTATCCAACCTAACAAAAGTCATTTAAAGATTTGCATTATATTCACATTCGCCGAAAAATGTATACAAGAGTAGGTCGCAATAATTAATAATAATTGGCAATTAAATTTACTAACAAAATATACAGGCCAGTAAAATTGAAAGGGAACCCAATACTTCTACACAGGTTGGAATTGTATTTTTTTATTCAAAACAACATAAATTCTGTATGTTGGTTGTCTAGTACCACTGGACCAATTTAATTAAGTTAAATAGTACATTTATAGGAAATTTTTAAATCTATAAAATTTCAAGAAAAAACTGTCTTTATAAAGAAACATCGCAAAAGACGTAAGAAGGAAAAACATATTTCCAAAAAAGTTGTTGCGTTTTTTTGCATATGCAACAACGCATAATAAGCAAACGCAACAACGCATAATAAGCAAAATGAGTTTTATAAAAAATGTAGCTCTTAAAATTGTCAGTATTTTAAAAGTCTGTGCGATAAACAGTTCGTAAGATATTAAAAAAAGTTTTTATTTAAGATGGCGGGCCATGGCGGCGCGGGGGTTGTTTGGATCAAACCGAAAATCACAAAATTTACTATTAAAATTATGCTCTTTCAATTAAAAAAATAATTTTAAACGGTATAAAAGTATAGGGTCAACAAACGCTTATACTTTTTCCAATAAAGGGCGCAGCAATAATTTGTCAAATTAAAATTTAAAAAATAACATTTTAACTATTGAAATAAACTTTTTTGGTTCAAACAAAAGTTGTATTTTTTCTATATAAAATAATAGGCATAAAAAATCTAATATAAGAAAATTATAAATTAATTAATATAATAATAATATTAAATTACCTATAGTGTAGATTTCGCATAGGTATTTAATATACTTTTTGTGTTTAGAGGTCTTAATTTTGAAAACAATAGTATATTATTATACGAAAAATAATGCAGGCTTATATTCCGAGTGTTTAATGCGCGTTATTTCAAGTGTAATACTATTATTTTTCTATTCCAATTAAGTAATTTTCATTAATTATAACCTCACTTTCTCCCGATTTTAAATATCATTTTCCGCCCCCCATATATCAAACAATTTAACATTACCTTTTCCCAATTTAAAACCCGATTGGTTCAAATCACAGTAAATATTGAACCTAACAACGTGAATAATAAGTTTATTATTAATAATTTTAATTGAATATTAATTAATATTTAATTAAAATATAAAAAATATATATTGTATTATATTAAGAAAATAAACAAAAAAATTAACCTTAATTATTTGTATCAAAGTCTCGGGGTGGGACTTTTGGGTGTACATTGTAACCGTCATTTTGACAGTTAGTAGTTAGTAGTTTTTTACATCTAGAACGGTATGGATGTACACGGTTAAGTGTTTTATTTTTAGTTTTACTAATTAAGGATAATTGTTTAGTTCTTTAAATGCCTCTTTCCAAGAGAATTTATTAGTTTTATGGGAATTCCTTTTACTGACACATGTTTAGCATTGCCTAGGAAGTATTTAAAATCCTTTTTAAGCCATTTATTTAATTTTATTTAAAAACTTTAATTTGATAGTATGCAACACAACACTTCCGTGGGCGGTGTCCGGGGTGCGGTGTTGCGTTTTTGATAAATTAGTGTCAGTGGAGGGAATTATCCAAAAGGTTGCGTTTAGGGGGGTAGGTATTTGGGTTTTTGGGTATGTCACTAGGGGCGTATCAGTGCAAGTGTGGCTGAGGGGTATTGACGGTTGAAGTTTGGGTCCTGGTAGAATTTGCGGGAATTCTTTGGGGAAATGTCTGTTAACATAGGCAACAATGTTGGGATATAATTGGGTTCGAGACTTTTCCAGCAGGTCTTCTACGCATTTAGTTTCCTACGCATCAAATTTTGAGTTGAGCATCCTTTTACGATTTGGTCGTTGAAGAGTTTAGATGAGAGTTAAGTTTGTGCTTAAAATATGGAAAATTTCCTAGAACACGTGGTAAATCTCTCAATCTAATTGTATAATTCCGACTAAAACACTTTTCGTGTGGTACGATGAGCTCTGGGTGAGTTTTTGACCTGTTGCTGTATTTAAATCTTATCCACGAGGTTTTCAATTTTAGGTTTGTGTTATTCATCATACCATTTTTTTAGGGTTTTTATGTAAGACTTCTTAAGTCAGATTTGTTGTAAAGGAATGGGAAAGGAAAGTTCTTACGTCACTGAAAAACCATCCTGGAAAATCTGACATAGGGGAGACTTCAACATCGGAAGCCAACCTATGTGAAAGCACACTCTACCAGGGCCCCAACTGCGTTCAGGTCGTACCAACTTTGAATATTTATGTTAGAGAACATAGCGTGCACTACACTCCTTATACGTTTGTGTACTTTTGAGTCGAGAGTTCGACATAGCTATAAAAAATATATTTAAAATAACTACAATTTAAAAGTTGAAGACTATAGTCTTCAACTTTTAAATTGTAGTTATTTTAAATATATTTTTTATATCATCGACAATATAATTCATTAATATTAGAAACAATAAAATGCCACTATGCATAGTGACGTATTTTATCACAGCGGCAATATTTTTTATCATCTTGTTTACACGTTACTATGAATTTTGACGTTTTTTTGATTTGACATTTGTTGTCATTTCAATTCTGTTTTTGATATAATATATAATATATAATATATATATTATATCAATAAAATAATGAATTATAAACTCTAAAAGATCGATGGGTTGGTGTAAACGATAATGAAATTAAAGTAAGTTTGAATAAATAAGGTTTATTAAAGTCTTTTTATATTTTAAAGCACATTTTAATTTCAAATGTCAAACTAAAAATTCGTTAAATCCTAAAATTCATTATATTTTCTCACTAAATATAACTCGTGGTATGATTAATTATCGATGATATTTACTCATTAAAACCGAAGCAGCACATTTCACTCGTCCTGCAGCTCGGTTTCAATTCGAAAATATCATCGATGATAATCATACCACTTGTTATATTATGGGTGATAATATTTTATCTGTTAATTTAGTCTATTAGACTTTGGTTTTTGTAAACCATATATGGCCATATAAGGGTGCACCAAAATTATAAATCGAACCAATGTTTAATATTAAATGAAAAGTGATCACTTCACATCGGTGAAACAAATATAACTTTGATTTATTTTTTTTTAACTTGACTTTTATTAACCACCCTTAATCTTTATTAAGATTGTGTCTGACTTACTTAGACTTTACCAACTGACCCAAATAAGACACTGGCGCCCAATTTTGGATTTATTTTAGTAAACACACGTAAGTATTGAGAAACAACATTTGCCCATGGACCTATCTCTCTGCTGCTAAGCTGCCGTTCGCCATAGCCCTCAAGTTGAGGTTACAACATTCCGTATATTTTTTAATAAAATAAACCCTAAAGTACATACATAACACTATACTATAGTAATTGCTCCATATGTTATATACCGAATTTGCACTTTTACCGTAACATAATAAATTATACACCTAAAATGAAATTATACTCGGTTGATACAGATACATCAGCAGTAGCAGCAGCAGCAGGCGCCGCAGAAGCAGCAATATGTAAATTATTCATTGAGAATTATGTTGACGATTAAATTTAATTTGTATAATTCATCATACATTGAGAATGTAAACAGAAATGGCTAAGGGATAATAAACTTACCACCACGAGATTCCACATTTTGGCCGCTTCGGCCACCGTTGTGCAAACGGTGCTACATCCAGCGAGCAGCATCAACTTCTGGGGCTGATTGTAGAGAAGATTATACATGACGCTGGCGCCCAAGCCGGGTTCGCACTGAAAATTTACATACATTACTCTTTCAATTCCCAACCGAGCCGCTAACACAATAAAAATAAACAAGTCTTAATCTTTACCACACCACTCTGTTAAGAAAATCACCGCCCTTTAACAAGGTTAAACCGATGTGCGTAGTTTAAATTAAATTAAAAATATTTTAGTTTTATTTGTTTTATTATACCTACAGGATTATTAGGGTGGTCCACAATTGTATGGAGAAAAAATATTGTTAATTGTTGCCTCTACATAGGTCATTTTTTACCAAATTTGAACCTTCTAGGTTTATATTTCATAAACCATTAATGTCGCTGTTTTACTATTTTGCTTCTTTTTTAGATTTTATATGGACTGAATAACCAAAAGTTGTCTTTTTGGTGTGGTGTTTATGTTACATTTTTTTTGACTTTCTGGGATAATATTTTTAGGTGCCTAGTTGAGGTGAAAATTGTAAAAACTATGAAATTTATCATAAATTTAAAGTCAATATTTTTGTTTACCTGCAAGTAGGATAAACAACACGATAATTTTTGTTCGAAAATTAATTTATTTTTATTAATTCTATTAGGGAAAATACTAAATCGTGTGTTAGGCACAAATAGTATATTTATTATGTGGTCTATGTTTATGTTCATTTGTACATGCTTTACTTATTAAGTTGTCCTGTATACGTATCAAAATGACGACGAGATCTGCTCCCACTAACTGGCTTCTCGGACAGTCAATTTTAGGTTTTTATGCAGCACGACTTTCTTGTGGATTAGAGTGTCTCCGAGTAGTTTAATTTTACCATTTAGAAGAGGGCAGCAAATTGATTCATAAAATAAAGAACGTTGACGACAAAGTTTTCCTTCAAAAGGAAAGCATAAGTAGTACTGACTACAGCGAGGGAGAATAGAAAGAGACAGCGGTAACAAATAGAAAAAATATAAAAAAATAAATATGCAGAAAGGGATTCGTCTAGGACAATTTCACAACCATCTACGTATTATTCTAAAAGCTTATGTGCAATATTTCTAAAACGATAAACAGCTCTTAGGTATTCTGTGCTTATCCAAACAACAAGATCGGTGAAAAAACGTCCACTGCTTTTAATAGGCTAAATTGGTTTCTTTTAGAGCACTCAATAGATATAGAGTATCACAAAAATCAATTTTTGCTTTAATCCAAAGTTTTTCAATATTATTTGTAGTAATTACTTACGACCTTAAAATTTATATTTACTTTTATGTTTCAGTAAATATAAATTTTAAGGTCGTAATTACTACAAATAATATTGAAGAACTTTGGATTAAAGCAAAAGTAGTTTTTTGTGATACTATTTACGGGATTGTGTATAGACCCCAAACTATTGAATATAAAATATTTCTTAATCATTTGGAAGAATCCCTAGTATCGTGCATACGAAAAGGTGACAGCTTAATTAATAATAGGGAACTTAAACATAAATATGCTTAATTTTAGAAGCCCACAAACCTTATTACTAGATGAGCTCTTACACTGTTCAAAATTTCATGACCATTTTAACACCAAACTAACACCAAACATGGTCTATATCGATACAAACCAAAATGGTGTTAAATAAGGTTCGTTGGTACGGTGTAATTCAAATACTAAAATGGTGTTAATTTAACTTTCACACAGTATTAAAATAAATTTTAATTGGTGTAAATTGAACTCCTTTTCAGTGTTAAATATTATGTGTTTATGGACAAATTAAATCATACTACACAGAAAAAAGGAGGAAAAAAAAGGAAACAGGAAGTTCCTTGACGCATTACTAGTATATTACCAGTGGTATTAGTCCAGAAAATGGAACCTTCAACTCGCTAGAGATAATGTTTTTAGTGCCTTGCACTAACTTAAGCATTGACAGCTGTTTCCACCTATTTAAGGTCTCTTTAGTATCGAACAACTTGTAGTGTCACACCAAAGCAAAGGATTACCTGAGTTATATATTCTTCATGTAAGTCAACAGAGGCGAGATTTAAGAACATCACGTGATTCACACCGCCTTTGCCGCGATCGGTACACATTTTCAACCATAATTCATGGTGTTATATTAACACCACTTGGTGTTGGATTTTGACACCATTTTAAGATTACTTTTTACACCACAGATATTTTAAACAGTGTAGAAACTGTTGGTTAGAAAAAAGAAGGAAAAAAAAGGAAACAGGAAGTTCCTTGACGCATTACTAGTATATTACCAGTGGTATTAGTCCAGAAAATGGAACCTTCAACTCGCTAGAGATAATGTTTTTAGTGCCTTGCACTAACTTAAGCATTGACAGCTGTTTCCACCTATTTAAGGTCTCTTTAGTATCGAACAACTTGTAGTGTCACACCAAAGCAAAGGATTACCTGAGTTATATATTCTTCATGTAAGTCAACAGAGGCGAGATTTAAGAACATCACGTGATTCACACCGCCTTTGCCGCGATCGGTACACATTTTCAACCATAATTCATGGTGTTATATTAACACCACTTGGTGTTGGATTTTGACACCATTTTAAGATTACTTTTTACACCACAGATATTTTAAACAGTGTAGAAACTGTTGGTTTAACACAGGTAATATCAGAGCCTACAAGAATAACAGATAAAAATGAGTCATTAATAGATTTAATAATTGTTTCTGATGTTGCCTTAATAACCAAAAGTGGAATTATCGAAGTTCATATGACTGATCATGAATTAGTTTATTGTAGTCTGAGATCAACTAAAAAAATTACACCCTATTATGCAACTTACTGTTATTCAATTTTGAAAACTTTGATGCCCATTTAAAAACGTTGCCTTTTACCAATATCATTGTAATTAAAAACATTGATGAAAAACTTAATTACTTTAATAACTGTATAATAAATTTATTTGATCTGCATGCGCCTTACAGAACCTCAAAAATAACTAAACCCAACAAACCATGGGTAACAGATAATATAAAATTGCTTATTTCCAAGTCAAAATTTAAACGCAGTAAAGAAGCTAAAGATTGGGACTACTACAAAAATTTACGCAATTTCACTGAGATAGCTATAAAAAATGAAAAAAAGCCTATTTTAATTTTAAGTGTCAAATAACCAACTCAAAGATAATGTGGAACAAATTAAAATTTCTAAATATAAACTTAAAAAAACGAGCCGTTTTACCTTTACACCTAAAAGACCCCAATCTTATTAACACAAACTTTATAAAAAATATTCCTAGTTCTAAGGTAGATAACAAAAATACAATACATTTTTATAATAATAATATCATATTATTAATATGTATACTTTCAAAAACATAACACCAAATTTTGAGTTTACTTTAATAACAAATGAAATAATTTCAAAAATAATTAACAATTTAAAAACTAATGCTATTTAATAAACAACAAATTGATGAATCCATTGCCAAGATCAACTTTGATTTAAATGTTATAAATGAAATTTTTATAGAACACTCCATGTTTTTAAATCCTAGTAAAACAAAATGCCTCTTATTTGTAAACACGTCTTCCTTATCGTTAGTGAATAAACATTTTAAGATTAATATAAATGGTACCACAATTCTAATAGTTAATGGCTCTAAAAATTTGGGTTTGTATTTTGATAATACCTTTAGATTTAAAACTCAAATAACAAATTATATTAAAATATCATACTCATCATTAAAACTAATCTATCCAAACCCTACTTCCCTTGTTGATGTGTTGACTAAATTATTATTTCTTTTACTAAATTTAAAAAAATTTGAAATGGTATAAAATCTGTAATACTTGAATTTTTTTAATAAAATTTGAAATTTTTCGATAAACTTCAGTGAATTAAATATTGTACCACATTAATTTAAATTATCTTAATTTGGAGGGGCAGGAGGCTGGGGGTTGCACTTAAAAACTAACTTTTTTCGCAAACTTTAATTTAAGTTCTGCTTGCGCAGAACTTGTCTATATAATGTCATTATAAACTCATATAAATTTGATGTGGGTCCCATGTCTAATAACTGAGATATGGGTGTGCCAAAATCCACCAGCCGCCACTGATCTAGCCACTGCAGTGGAAGTAATTATGAAGAAGTTTTCAACAATAATTTCTCCTCGTTGGGAAAAATTTCAGGGATAATTTTATCACGAGGGGTATTCGGCAAGACTATTTCACGATTTTTTTTAAATTAGAATTAACTGCCAATTCAATTTCTGTATGATTTTTTTAACAAGAAGCATGAGTGCTGGTGGCAACATAAATCCGAGTCGAAGACGAGGATTTTTGCACCTGCACGAATGCATTTTGTTAAAAAATATTACTTAGCATTGTGTTTTTTCGATTTTTTTCACAGGAAAAATTAGATGCCCGAATGGTATTTGATTTGATTTAGGCGAATGGTTTTAAATTAATGCCACGATCTAAATTTACAAGGAAAAATCTTGAGTTAATAAAAATAGAAAATTGTATCAAGAGTGGTATTCGGCAAGACTATTTCACGAATATTTTTTTAGGTATGTACAACAAATATTTTATATAAATATTTATAAGCATTAAAATTTACAAATGGAACTGCAAAAACTAAGCAAACTTACAAACAATTTTTGTATGATTTTTTTACCAAAACGCATATTTTTTGAAATTTTTATTTTAAAATTAGAAACGTCAACATTGACAATTATTTTTCGCATGACAACCAATTGGTTGCTATGCATCTCGTATAAACGAGTGGTTTTTTCGTAAGTAAATTAAATACATAAATCATAAGGGCATCTAATTTTTCTGAAAAAATCGAAAAAATACGTTGCCAAGTAATATTTTAACAAGAAGCATGAGTGCGAGAGGCAACAAAAATCCGAGTCTAAGACGACGATTATTGTACCTGCACGAATATATTTTGTTAAAAAATATTACTTAGCATTGTGATTTTTCGATTTTTTTCACAGGAAAAATTAGATGCCCGAATGGTATTTGACAAGACTATTTCATGAGTAACCGTTTACAATTAAAATATAAATTGCAATTTTTGGTGACAACAGCTGTCAAGTTTTGCCGCGGGTTACCTCGAAAAAACTGCTGACAGGTGCTGTCATACATTTTTTCCACCTAGAAACCATTTGTAATTCAAAATTGCGCGTTTGTGATTGGTGGAAATTAAGACGAGGGAAATAGTCCCTGCAAAACTGAAAAAAACACTCGTTTTCTGAAATCTGATTGGTCCATAAAGTAATGAGTGTAATAGTCTATTATATACGTTTGATTATAGGCAACCTCCTAAATAACTTTGTATGTGCATTTAAATTCATTTTTTTTAAATACAAATCATCTTAAGGGTTTACCTATATAAATATAATATAAATAATAATAATATAAATATATTTTAAAATACTTTGGTATGATTACTTTAAAAGAAAATGTAAGTTTAACTTTATAAAGCAACTAAGCAACTGGCATTAACTTTAGGGAATCAATTGAATCATAAACATATTATGTTATTATTATTATGACATAAAGTCGTATTTTTCTGATTAAACTTATAACGTTTAACCACGCGTTTAACAGAGTTAAATTTTTAAAATAATATAAATTATTCTGTTTTTAGGTCTAATGTATACTTTTTGTATTTTAATCTTTAAATAAAAAAACTTGGAGAATTAAAAATATAGTTTGTTTTAAAGAAAAACAGTAATTAATTTATTAGATTTTTTACCTACCTACTAATTTATTTTTAACAGCAAATAATTTTTATCTATAAATTTAATAAACGTAAATAAGACAATTAAAATATTTATTTAATACCCTTTTAATAACACCTATAATTTGATTCAGGTTTTTAAATTATAAACTAATTACGTGTATTTTATCACGTACACCAGGAAAGTTCTAGAAGGCTTTAAATGTTAAACATATTCAAACAATATTTTTAACTAAAAATAAATTAAGATTTACTGAATTGTTCAATAATACTAAAATATTCCTATGGGACATTTTTATACGCTTTAAAATCTTTTCACTTCATGGGATTTTTTGCCATTTAAAATCAATTAAGTTAAACTTGCAAAGATAATTTAAAGGTTAAATTTTATTCCTGAATTTACAATTAGTCGTATATAGCAATAACAATTCTAATTTGTAATACAAAAATATGTTACATAAGATCAGTACCGACTAGAAGTTGCAATTGCTGGATCCCTCATCCAGCAATCCAGCTGGATCCGGCGCATTTTTCAGCTTGCTGGATCCAGCACCGAGTGCTGGATCGAGCACTGCGAATCTGCAAATAATTAACTTTCTTAATAATGGCGCAAAAGTCTACATTGACAGCGACCTTTCCGTTCTGTTACGCTTGAGGCACGTGCTACACCCCTTTCTACACCGCACTTTTCGCCCTCGCTTGATAAAGTGAAGTGTCTTATTGGCACCGCTGTGGCTCGGGTTGTTTGTTGTGAGGATTGTGAGTAATTTGACTGAATATTAATTTTAATTTATTTATAAACATTACATTACATTACAGTAGTTACATTGGAAACAAGAAAAAATTAAAATTTTTCTTTAAAAAATTTATAAATTGCTGGATCCGCGCTGGATCTAGCTGGATTGATGTTTATCCAGCAAAAATCCAGCTGGATTAAAAACCCTGCTGGATTTCAATCCATACTAACGACCGAACTCTCCAAATTCGAGCCTGGAATAAGCCAGACGTTTTGTAAGAGCGCTTCGATAAATCATTAAAAAAAATCAAGACAGTATTAGGCTTAGAAGTGCTGTGCGAAAGTGCTAAGTGTCACATGTGCAGAAAAAACACCGCGCCGGCTTTAAAAAACGCAAAATTAAATTTGCAATCTTTACTGAAAAGCGGTCTTGCATTGACCTCCTTAGAAGGGCTAAGCGGCTTAAAACACAAGGCGGTCCTGAATCTTCCCTGCTTTTTGCAATAATACTTAATGGTTTCGCATAGTATGGTAAATAATTTGCGCATACTACTTCCTTACTTGTCAGCTTAGTAAAATACTACTGGCTGGCTTCCTTAAAGCCATCCAAGAAATACCGAAATATTCGACGAGAAGGGAAAAGAGAGGAAGGACACAAAGAACAAGAAACACCACACAAAAAAAGTAGGCCCCAACAGCGAAATAAAAAACCCCAAAAGCTTGAGATTCAGCATCGTACCTAGGTTTAAGTCGGCGTTATTGGCTCCTGAAAATCAAAAGGTATACCTTCCGAGTTTCCAGCTCCCTAGCCCTCTGGGCCTATAGTCCGGCCCGGCGTAATTCCGGGAAGGGTCACTAAAACCATCGGCATGTCGATTACGAATTCCAAAAAGGTACCGTGCAAACTGTGGTGGGAATCCGCATTCAGCAAACACAGGTGGAGCTGTACAGTTGTTGGGTGCAAAAGAAAATCAGAAGAGGCCCAAAATAGACAATGCGGATGGAGCCAGCTATCCGCTCCTTGTTTATGTTTATATTCATGTTTAAAATTGAGTACGTTTTACGCTAAAAAGTCATTCCTCATAAAACCTCCTGCTTATTTAAAAAAATTACATTTTACTAAAAAAAATTCTGAATCACTGCTCAGAAATAAGAAAAAATGAAAATTTTTCAAGAAAGAAGTCCTTTTATTATTTATATTATTGAAAGTTGATGACAATTTAAATTAAAATCTAAATAGGAAATAAAAAAAAATATTTTGATTTTTTATTTTGTAGATCACATGCGCTACTTCTGGAAAACCCTGTTCAAAGAGTAGTTTTGATGGTTATTAATTTAATTTTTTTATTTTTACCAAATAATAATTATGGTTTTAAGGGACTTGCTTTCTTTAATTTTTTGTTTATTTTGGTCGTTTTTATTTCATACGTAAATTTAACCTCTAAAATTCTAAAAATAAACCTTTTAATTATAATTTAATCATTAATATTTAAATAATTCATTCTAATGAATAGCAAATAATTAAATATTATAATTAAATCTTTATATTAAGAACAGATTTGTGTGTGTATAAATACACTAATATAATTATAATTATCGAAGTTTTCGAAAATTCCGTAATTATTTTACTATTCCCCTGACTAATTTTCTAGTTTTTCAAGGTAATCTGAAGGTATCGATAAATGCTGTACCCTTACAAATCAGTCGCATTGAACAGTTTTGGTATTTAGAGTGTGAAAGAACTGTGAAGTGTTAAGAACAGCGTTAAAACCAGGTAGGTCCTCAGTTTAAATTGATTGTTTTTTTTTTTAGTTTAAGTAAAGAGTAGTTTATTTAGCAATTTATATAAATATTAAAATTTTAAGTACTTAAATTTTGCAATTTTGTTATAATGCTGAAGCTACTCTGTAGCGAGATAATTGTCAACATTTAATAAGCTTAGTTGTTTTTATATTTACATAGTTAAAAATAGTAGGTACTTAAATACTATTTATATAAGTAAATTAATTAAATCCATACTAGAACATTCGTAAATGCATGTTTAATCACACCGGGCGAACGGCATAAATCCTCAAGAATTAATTCACCGTGAATTCACTGTGAGTTTCCAGACAACATTCGTGATGCACGTAGTGAATCTTTAAAATTGAATGCACTGTAAATTTACTGTGAGTTATCGTTTTTTATTCAAATTTATAAATATTATACCTACCCAGATAGCACAAAGAAGTAGTAAAAACGTCCTGAGTGTATCTTGTATCAGACATTAGTAAGTTCCGAGTACGTCCAAATCAGGTCCTGAACCTTCCCCAGGACGTTCCAGGGACATCCAATGTTACCAAATCGTCGGTCCCCAGAACGTCCTAAGTAAGACATCCTCTGGCCATCCTGAAATGCTTTATTGGGGACTAATAGACAAGCTTTACAGAATTGAAGAGTGGTATTCCCAAAGGCCCAGACAGCAATATGACGTCTTAATTAAGTCTTATTTTATTAATTTGTTAAATGGATTTTATTAAAATCATTTTAATAATTTGCGATTACTTCGTCTCACTTTTGTTTAAATTTAAGCGTGCTCTTCACCGGCACCGACTGACGGCCTGTTTCCCTCTTTTGGAGCTCGTCAGTATCGGGTAGCCGTTTACCTAGGTCTAAGGCCGTTTGGTATGAAGCACGCTCTAAATTCTACTTCGCCGCTTCTTATATCAAACACAAACAGTTACAGCGGTGAGAAGAAAGAATCCCATTAAAATGTCATAAATGTGACGCCTCCATGTTGACGTCTTAAAGAGTTAATAATATGATTTCAGTAAGAAGTAAGAAAAGAGAATACTGTAAGATATCATATAACTAAATTCTTATTTATGATACCTACCCTTAGTAGCTTCTAATTTTGATTTCAAAAAAAGGTCAGAAAAAAAGATACTTTAAGATGTTAAAAAATTTACTTCTTATTTATGAACTCATCAAGAACTCTTAATCTTGAGCTCCTAAAAATGATTTCTCTAAGATGTCATATTGTGACCTCAGTAAGAGATGTTTTTCAACAGACTTCGTACAGAAATCTTTCTGAATTGGATGCTGTCTGTCTAAAAATAAAATAAAATTGTAAGTTATTAATGAAAAACAAATATTTTGCACATGTAAATGTTGAAATGTCTGAAACACGTTTGGAATTGCATATTCCGCTCTCCTGAAACCGTCAAACTCGCCTTCGGCTCGTGTGATAAACTCTTCACTCGAGCAGTATTCCAAACTTGTTACAGAATATACTATTAAGTCATTCTGCATGACACAATTTTTTTTTTTAAATGATAATATATTATTTAACCAACTTGGCACTTAGACCCTTGGGACGTACCCAGTATATCCGCTATAATTTTCCCAAATAAGTAAGACACTGGACGTACCCAAAACTTCCGATATAGGTCTAGGACGTTCGGACCTATGTGGGACCCGAAATGGACGTCCTGGGTACCTCTTGTGCTATCTGGGTACCTTATATTTAAAGACCGAAATGTAAAAAAACATTAACCCTGAATGTTAAAAAATCCTGATGAGCATACGCATTCACTTCGAGCTTTACGTGTGCGTTCACTATACATTTAAGGCACTTATAAAAACAAAACAAAAAAGATAACCATTTAACCATTTTTATTTCATTTACATCACAAGACATTTATTTTCAATTCAAAGTTTCTATAGTTGATAACTGCGCAATTTTTGGTACACTCTGTATATGTCACCGCTAATGGCAGTTTTAACATTTTTTGTTAATGATGTATTAATATTTAGACGTGGGATAATAAAAGATTAAGTAGATTGTTGTAAGTGGTTGATAAAAAAGAAATATATTAATAATTAGAGTAATTAAAATAAATACCTGTATCTATTAATCACTATAGCATTATTACTATGTTTAGTAAAACAAGTCTTTTTTCAGTAATAACAAAATGTTAAAATATTTGCTTTTTATGGTCGTTGCTTGCCACCAGAGCAACCAGCAAGAAACTGCTTTGGAAGGTGTAATCAAACTAATAATCCAAAACTTCAACCAAGTGGAGAGAATTGAACCACCTGACATACCCAAGGAAAACATGTTACCAAGCTACGACTTCATAGTCGTGGGTGCAGGAACTGCAGGATGTGTCGTTGCTAATAGGTTGACAGAGAATCCCAATTGGAACGTTCTTCTCATTGAAGCTGGAGGAGCTGAAAGTTTTTTATTTGACATGCCCATATTGGCGAATTATTTGCAATTTATTGAAACGAACTGGAACTACAAAGCTGAACCCAGCGGAAGATTTTGTATGGGTAAGTAAGGCATCAGTATTTTAATAAGATGGGAAACTATTGACATGTAATTATATCGCATCAGTCCTGTATATTTACCTATAAATCATAAATTAACAAAAAATAACTTAATGAAACGTTACATTTTTTAAACTAGTAAGTATTTGACACAAAGTGATTGATTGAATATTGAGTAAGTGTGAAATAGTATATTGCATAACGAGACAAAAAGACCATGAATACAACGAGTTTGCTGCACTCACATGAGCTATTTTTTACAATACCTTTATCAAAAGATATGGAATACACAAATTTAAACAACAATCAATGATACAATTTTAACAACTAAGTAATTTGTGTAGGTTTCAGTAGAACGCTTAAGTGCCTGTATTATACTTTATGAATACAATAACATATTTAAGATTGCCAATGAAAAAGCCATTTATGAGTTATATGCGTTTTATACACTATTTTCTACGTTCTTTGCAGCACTATCGATTTCCACATTATTTTCTACCGACAATATTCATGAGATTTGGTGCAAAAACCGACTTGTCCAAGCGTAGTCTTCGTCAACAAACAGGATTTATTGTTTAATGTTTAATTTGAAAAATGCTTTAAAGGGAATTCTGTAGCATTTACTTCAACAGAAACATGCAGTATAACAATATTACAGCAGATTGAAACTGAGAAGGAAGACGCTGATGTTAGTTTCTTAAAAAAAATATATATGCAATTTTGTGGCCCTACTGAGAGTGGGCGAAGTAATGAATTTCCTGATTGTTAATTTCTCAACATCAACCTGTGGGCGAAATAGCATTTCGGGCTAAAGCAAGCTTTGGAAAAAGTGATGTTAAAACTACTTGACACTTGTCATATGTTATAAATTATAAAAGAAATGGCTTTAAATTTCTTGCGGTTAAATAAAATATTGTGTGGGACTAAAAGAGGAAAATCCATATGGGTGTTATAATTTGAATTTTTTATTTTGGCCCTCACGTCATTAATACAAAATTTAAAAACCAATTTTTCGACATAAGTTTCGCTAAATTGAAGCATGCCAGCGCTCCTGCAGCTTGGAAATACAATACAAATGTCTGAGCTATATCCTCACATTAATTACGTAGGAGTCGTCTGTACCGCACTCGCTACGTGCAGCAAAATCAAAAGTTAAATAATCCCCTCTTTCTCCCAATAGTAGCAAAATACATATAATTATCGCGGTTTCCGTAAAATTTGTTTTAGTGGACTTATCGGGTTTTGCGATAAGACGCCTGAAATGAGTAATATTTCATTTAACTATTAATTATTTTTAGGCATGGACAATGGTAGATGCAACATGCCTAGAGGAAGAGTGATGGGTGGTTCTTCAGTGCTCAATTACATGATATATACTCGTGGAAACAAAAAAGATTTTGACCGATGGAGTAAGGCGGGCAACACTGGATGGTCTTATGATGAAGTTTTACCATACTTCAAGAAAATTGAAAACTTTACTATACCTGAATATCAGAATTCATATCACGGCAATGACGGTTACGTTCAGGTTGGATATGCCCCATATAAAACCCAAATTGCTGATTCAATCATTAAAGCAAGTAAACAAAGTGGTTTTAATTATGTGGATTACAACGGCAAGGATCAAGTTGGTGTGTCCAGGCTTCAAGTAAATATGAGAGATGGTTTCCGTGAAAGTGCCAGTAGATCCTATTTGCACCCAATCAGAAATAGAAAAAACCTTCATGTTAAAAAACTTGCGATGGTTTCAAAAATTTTAATTGATCCTCTAACAAAGCAAACCTATGGTGTTGAGTTTGTCAAAAACAATCGAACTTATACTGTAAAAGCCACCAAAGAAGTGATTCTATCTGGAGGTGCTATAAACTCCCCTCATCTTCTTATGTTGTCCGGTATTGGGCCTAAGAAACATTTAAATAAACTAAATATACCTGTTTTAAGTAACTTAAAAGTAGGATACAACCTTATGGATCACATTGCTTTGGGTGGACTAACTTTCCTTGTAAACAAAAACGTACAATCTTTAAAAACCGAAAAAATTATAACGTCCGAAAATATAAAACAGTACGCCCATAAACACACCGGACCATTTACTATACCCGGAGGATGTGAAGTTCTTGTATTTCAGGATTTGGAACATCCATTTCAAAAAGATGGCTATCCAGATATAGAGTTATTATTCCAAGGGGGATCAATCGTGTCCGACAGTATCTTAAGAAAGGATTTTGGCATAAAGGATGAAATATTTAATAAAGTGTATAAACCCATCGAAAACGAGGAATCTTTTATGGTATTTCCTATGTTGATGAGGCCAAAAAGTAGAGGTAGAATTATGTTGAGAAGCAAAGACTACAAAGAAAAGCCTTACATTTACCCCAATTATTTTTCCGATAATTACGATATGGACACAATAATTAAAGGAGTCAGACTTATTTTTAATATAACATCACAACCTGCCTTGAAAAAGATTGGAACCAGATTACACACGATCCCAATACCAGAGTGTTCAAAGTTAGAGTTTGGAAGTAATTTGTATTTTGAATGTATGGCCAGATATTTGACATTTACGATTTACCATCAAAGTGGAACCTGCAAGATGGGCCCATCCAGTGACAAAATAGCTGTTGTAGATCCAAGATTAAAGGTGCATGACATCAGAGGATTAAGAGTTATTGGGGCTTCTGTTATTCCAGAAATACCTGCAGCCCATATAAATGCAGTCACTTTTATGATCGGGGAAAAAGGATCGGATATGATCAAGGAAGACTGGGGCTATAAAGTTTAGTAAACTTAATGTTATTGGCTGAAGATTAACAAAACTTGTATATAATTTAAAATTGTTATTTTAGTGTTATTATTTATTTGAGTTTATAATTTTAATGTAGCATAATGCTGCACTTGTTATCCTTTGTTATCCTTTTTTATAAAAAGTTAATATTCCCATTGATATAGAAAATCAACCGCTTCTTTGCTCTGCCTGTCATCTATTGGATTATGACAAAATGTTTAAAAAATATCATTAATTTCTGTGAATTTCTGTTATAACGCAACTTATTTTAAAGTTTACTTTTATTTTTTTTTATTAAAATATATCTAGTCCTATTTAAAGTACTCATTATTATGTAGAGTTTATCTATAAAAATTATTAAACGCCTATTTGGTTTTATTTTCAATATTCTATTAACCTCTTAAGTGGCAATATCAATATGCTAAAGTTACATTTCTTATCTAGTCCTATTTAAAGTACTCATTATTATGTAGAGTTTATCTATAAAAATTATTAAACGCCTATTTGGTTTTATTTTCAATATTCTATTAACCTCTTAGTGGCAATATCAATATGCTAAAGTTACATTTCTGATGGCTCACTATTTTTCCGGATGCGAATATATACGTCATGTGCATTACGTAATTAATCGGCCGTATTTATACGTCGTAATCGAGCACTTTTTCAAACAAACAAGAAAAAGTAACTAAAACATATTGGATATAAATAATGAGTAATAAGTCAATATGTTATTTATTTTATAAATCTACTCAGGTAGGTAAATACATTATTATCTACCAGAAAAGTACATTTTGTATTGTGGTTTTGGGCATAAACCCTGTAGAATTAATAAACCCGGTAGTGTTTTAATTTAATTTTTCTACTCCTATTACGGAATTTGAACGTTCTATTATCACTTTTATCTATGGAATGACATATATTCCATAAAGTGTTACAGAATGAAATATTCTATCATCCTATTACAGAATAAACACTCGTGGCGACATCCCTGTTTTTAATATCTAACAAATTTTAGGCCGATCCAACCTCACTTTCTTCCAATCAAATGACTTTTCTATGGTATTTTTTGGAAACGTAGAAAAAGTATAGTCTGAAACACGTTTGGAATTGCATATTCCGCTCTCGTGAAACCGTCAAACTCGCCTTCGGCTCGTGTGACAAACTCTTCACTCGAGCGGAATATGCTGTATTCCAAACTTGTTACAGAATTTACTATTCTGTTTTTCTCTGTCCATTTTCTAACACTAGAGTTTCGTTTTATGTTTGCGTGATTTCTCAAAATAAAATGTAGACCATATCTATTTGTTTCTTTCACAATTATATCAATCACATTTTCGTCAAAAAAATTGTTCAAAAAAATCTATTATATCAGTTAGATTATTTATCTGTACGCCACTGGTTGCCGTGAAAAAAAAATCTATTATATCAGTTAGATTATTTATCTGTACGCCACTGGTTGCCGTGAATTTAAAGGGTGGTCGAGGAATCCCATTCTCAGTCCAAGGCATGTCAAAATTTATTTCCTCGGCCTCTTCGTTTTCAGACACATTATCACTTTCGTCATTATTACTCTCAAATTCTTCACTGTAATTTGAATCGCTTTCAGATCCATCAGAGCTGGTAAAATCAATATTTTCGACGCTAATATCATCAAAATGCATTTCAGTAGGCTAACCCGATATAATATTATTATTAACAATATTTTTTTTACAAACAAACACTAAGGAATAAGAAGCACGTGCTGCGCAAACAAATAAAGATTGTTACTGGGTACGCCTACACTATTTCGCGGTATTTTCTCATTAAGCTATCGAATAGGCACCCCCCTACACTGTAAACCACTGCATGCGAGTATATTCGGCATAACCATTAAATGCTCGAAGTAAAATTTTCATGCGAATATATCCGTCATAAGCGCTGCAGACAGACTATTTCCCTCGTCTTAATTTCCACCAATCACAAACGCGCAATTTTGAATTTAAAATGGTTTCTAGGTGAAAAAACTGTGTGACAGCACCTGTCAGCAGTTTTTTAGAGTTTACCCGCGGCAAAACTTGACAGCTGTTGTCACCAAAAATTGCAATTAATATTTTAATTGTTAACTGTTACTCATGAAATAGTCTTGTCAAATACCATTCGGGCATCTAAATTTTCCTGTGAAAAAAATCGAAAAAACACAATGCTAAGTAATATTTTTGAACAAAATGCATTCGTGCAGGTGCAAAAATCCTCCTCTTCGACTCGGATTTTTGTTGCCACCAGCACTCATGCTTCTTGTTAAAATATTACTTAGCAACGTGTTTTTTCGATTTTTTTCGGAAAAATTAGATGCCCTTATGATATTACTTACGACTATTTCCCTCGTCTTAATTTCCACCAATCACAAACGCGCAATTTTGAATTTCAAATGGTTTCTAGGTGAAAAAACTGTGTGACAGCACCTGTCAGCAGTTTTTACGAGTTTACCCGCGGCAAAACTTGACAGCTGTTGTCACCAAAAATTGCAATTTATATTTTAATTGTTTAAAATCCGGATATATACGTCATAGCCACTTAAGAAGTTAAATAAAGTACCACGCCAAATTTTACCATTTCTATTGGCGATAAGCTCTTAAAAGTGGGATACAACCTCATGAATTACCTAATCTATCTTTCATCATAAAGAAGAACGTATTTAAAAGCCGAAAAAAATATGAATTCCGAAAACATAAAACAATACGCCCAAGATCACCATTTACTATATAGTATACCGGTTCCCGGTCACTTTCCCGAATGCAATTTCCCGACTGACCAATTTCCCGATAGACCATTTTCCCGACACACCATTTTCCCGACGACGTTTTTCCCGACAGCACTCTTCCCGACAGACTATGTTCACGACAAAAATCTTATTATCTAGTAAAGAAAAACATACCTGGTCAAAAAGTTTATTTATTAAAAATTGATAAAAATTAACAATAGGTACACAAAAATTTAATTTATTTCTAAATAACGATGGTGTGCGCCAGGGCGCGTAAGTACTCTAAATTACAGGTCTCGTATTGAGAAACAATCCTCTGAATCCGAGTTTGTAATGTTAACCACTTTTTTTTGGCGCAGCCTTGACAGTTCGGCCAAGACTTAATTCAGTTAAAATGATTTCGGTATCCACTTGTTCCTTATGGAATTCTGTAAGGGCCAATGGGGCGGGGTCGGTTGGGTTGGGTTGTTGGGTTTGGGTTGGTTTTGAAGCGGGCGGACTCGGGACGTTGGTTAAGGAAAAAAGATTGCGTCATTGGATGACGTCACTCTGTTAAAATATATTGTGTCGTTTGTGGTAAAAATTATTTGTCTTAAAAATGACTTGTCGGGAAAATGGCTTTTCAGGAAAATGGCTTGTCGGAAAAACGACTTTCGGGAAAATGACTTTCGGGAAAATGGTGTCGGGAAAAATCTTGTCGGGAAAATGGTTTGTCGGGAAAATGGTCTGTCGGGAAATTGGTCTGTCGGGAAAATGACTTTTGGAAAAGTGACCGGGAATCAGTATACCGGTTATATACCAGGTGAATGTAAAATTCTTGTATTTCAGGATTTGAAACATCAATTTCAAAATTTGAAAACAGATATTAAGGTAAATAGAGGAGCAGGCCGGCGGTACACTCTCAGCAGAAATGGGTAGTTAGCTAGAGAAGGGAGGTCCCCTTATTTTGAAAAATTTGGAGGGTTGGAAACCCAAGTAACATTTTTAGTTTTATTGTGGTCTTCAAAGTTTTTCATAGTCTTCAAGAACGCTTTAAAATAAAATTTTGTTACACAAATATATTGTGTAGCTAATCAATTTTTGTTTTTTCTTGCAGCTTGCACATTATTGCATGGCGAAAACAGCTAAGCGCTCGGAAAACCTGTAAACTTTTTTACTTCTAAAGGAAGGATGCACCTTAGCTGGCGTAACACACACGTTTCTGTGGATATGAATAGAGAACTAGAGAAGTAGTCTCAATTTGTTGGTAATACCAGTGGGGGCGGTGTTTAGGGGGTTAACTCCCCGTAATTGTTGCACACTAAACAAGAGAGAGTTATTTATTGACTTACAATATGTGTTATCAAGGCAAATTCTACGTCTTTAAGAACGTTGTCCCATTTAATAAAATCCGGGCATAATTTTGAAATCATTGGTCTCAGATCTCTATTGACATGCCTAATATGTCCATTTGCCCTAGGCGAACCTGCTGCTACAAGAATAAGTTGAATATTTTTCTCATCAAGAAAATTTTTAAACTGTGCTTACCTAAAATTTGAACCACGATCTGCAATAAGACGATTTGGCTGTAATTGGTAAAATAACCTATCAAGTGGTTTATTGTTTCGGAAGCATTTGTACTTTTGCAGGGTTAAAATTTATCTTATCACTATTTGAAACCTTTAACAGTCTTTTCTAATGGCTAATAGTGATAACAATGTATAGTGTCAAAAGGGAGGTTACCTTTGGAAATTTGATGCCTTCAGTTTTTCCTGTCGTGGAGGAAAATATAATACATTTTAAGCAGTTGCCAATATACTCTCTTACAAACACACCTAACATTGCGATAATTGCGATTGACGAGTTCACAAGATCTTGGCCACTTAGGTGTTGACAAATCTTAAGATTTGTCAACACCTACGTGGCAAACATCATCATGACAAGATTTAAAATAGTTTTCCACTGGATTTACGATAGAAAAGACGAGATTTTAGTTCATATGAGGAACTTTCGCCATTTTGCAACTGATTTTCTATCTTGAAAATTTCAGGGTCTTTTTGTTACATTACAAATAAGCTGCAAATCATCATCAACATATACTAAGAAAGAACGAATTAACGCATCAACGTGTCTCATGGAAAAAAATTGTTTATAATATAAATTATGTTTTTATTTAATTTTTAATTTTAATACAGAATAATTTTGCACTTGCTTTTTAAAGGAGATATATCTGCGTATCCCTCGTTTAGGTGTAAAAAAAATACATACATTTTTCCGACTAATTGTTTTGAGTTTAAGTTTACTTTTTTTTAAATTTATATAAATGTTAAACACTGTTTCTAAAAAGTTAAAATTTGTTAATAATAATTACGATTACTTACTGTTTCATTTTCTTTTCATACAACGCTTTCTAGATGTGTGATACACAGCTTTGCCAAGTTTTTTTAAACTGAAATACTCGAAATCTGATTATTTTTTGTTTCCTTTAAATAACGTATACCACCGTTAGTCCGCGATTTTTGGGACATCCTTTACAGTGTGTCTACTTAAGTTGGAACATATGGGAAACTTTTTTTATTATTAATTTTAAGAAAAAAAGTAATTCTTCATAAAAAGTTCTGCATGTT